AATAGCGGAATCAATTAGAAAATGACACATGGACAGAACATTAAATGGAAAAGACTGCTGAGATGTTAGTACTGTCATAAGCATTAATTGTGGCAAAAATTCCTTTTACATGAAGATCCACTTCCCAATTATTTAATTGATAAAAAATGGAAAGTGGGGGGACTATCTGTATTGGAAAAAAAACTGAATTTATATTAAAGATGATGTGGCATGACACGTGGATTAGTTGAATGGTCAAAGAACAACAATTGACTAAGAGGCACGGATGAAAACAACCACGGGAAGAAGAATTTAAATAGGCACGAGACGACGTATAGATACGAGTCTCGTACCAATTTAAATTATTTACAAGCCAACGGATTTGAAGGCATTGAAAGCAAGGATCAGATGACAGAAAGGAGTCCAAATTCATTATTAAACATTTGATACGTTATAAAATTGGTATTTAATAGGAATGATTGTATAACGGCTTATTTAATGTCATTTATTACTCATGATTATATCATTAAAGCTGGGGCTTTATTCCTTTACCTAGAATGATCTATAAAAGGAAGAAGTATCATCATTTGTAAGGACATGGAATACTATTGAGAATTCATTGAAATACTTATCTATTTGCTTTTCACCATTGTTCTCAAAAGTATTTTATTTTTGTCTCCTCATTATCAGTAACCCGAATTTCTTTTTTAGTTTTGACCAAGGACTCAGATTTTTGGTTAAACACTAGTGACATATGTTCTTGGAATATTTAAAAAATGCTGGATAAAATAGGTAAAAGGGAAAGTTTTAGTATGTTATGATGCTTTAGAATCCAAGTAGATAAGGCAAACTTTCCCTTATCATACAAGTGATCTAGAAAAATCTAGATATATTCACCAACTTGTAATTCTTCTAGCAGTTTTCACCCTTTAAAAATAATTAATATACAACTCTGAGAACTCTATATATAGCTTCACAGAGTTCATGCTTCTCACAACAAATCAAGCCTTCATTACTTCTTGTAGCCTTCACAACTTCTTTAATTTCAACTTCACCAAAAGCTATATAAATCTTGGCATTTTGCCAATAAACTCATTAGTTGTTGAACTTATAAACATGGATATGGTGATGAAGTTGGGAGCAACAAGCTCTGTGGTGATATTCAGCAAGAGCAGTTGTTGCATTTCTCATTGCATCGAAACCCTAATCCGTAGTTTTGGAGCAAACCCTACTGTTTACGAGCTCGATAGACATCCAAATGGGAAGCAAATAGAGAAGGCACTAATTGAACTAGGGTGTCAGCCAAGTGTGCCTGCAATTTTTATAGGGAATGAGTTTGTTGGTGGTTCTAATGAGATCATGAGCCTTAATGTGAGAAGCAAACTAAGACAATTGCTTATTAGAGCTAATGCCATATGGGTATAGAAATAGCAAGTCTACGAGTTTTTGTAGTAAACCAACCATTTATTGAGTCTTTTAGCTTCTTCGAATGGTTGTTTTTTCTCCCATTTCTCTTCTTGATGTATTAATAATGTTATAACTTTGGTAATAGTCATTTGCTTTGGCAATCTAGTGGCGGTTTTGTTTACAGCTGATGATCACATGAAAATAAAAGTTAACAACAATGCGAATCTTTATGTAATGCACTTTAATCCAAGGTATTAATAATAATCTTATACTACATTGTACATGCATTAAGTTTTATATATAATTTTGACATTTTACGTAAATGTTGGGATGTGCCCTTCCCCGGATCCTACGTAAATTTGGCCGGCCTTTCCCCGAATGGCTTTCTCTTAAACTAACAACGTAACATATTCTAACAGGAGACCGCATGGCACATAATGCTACTATTCCTATCTACAAAAGCTTTGAGGTAACATTAAACGAATGAAATCTTCCATCCATCAATTGGAATATCTGTCTTTTCCTGTTTTATGCGAGTTCAAGGGAATGACAAAGGTGACCCAATTTGCAGAATGCATATTACAGGAGAACAGGGAATGTGCGAGCTAGACTCAAGAACTCGAACTTGTTCACGAATAATTAATGTTAATTCATTTTCTCTGTATGGTTCCAAATTTATCAAATATCCACAAAATGACTACTTTTTCCGTTTAAAGTGGGATATATAAAGGATGTAAATAACTGATTTCCTACTTTTGTTGTAGAGTTTGTGGACTATTAGAACTGAGTTTTAAGATTTAAAATTAACAACTAATACAAACTTATTCCATTAGTTAAGCTAACTTATTCACTTGAGCTGACTTCATGCTAGAAATCTGGGAAAACTTGTAGATACATTATGCTTGTATATAATTATGCATCATCACCCATTGCTCTGTCAAAAGATCAGCCATTTTGTTATGGTATTAATAGAGGACCTTTTTTTAAATAAAGAAAAAGATTTTAAGACTTGATCTTGGATTGCTTATACATTCTATCGAGTTTAACATTTAAAGCAGATTTTACCCTAACATGACTCTCCGCAATTTGTCACTTCAGACTTTAAACCTTTATCAGCTTGCATATGTTCCAACATTTACTGATGATCCAATTCTTTAATTGCTTCATTCATTAATGGACGTGGCTGTTTGAATCGAAATAATCACATGTCATGCGACAACTAGTAAAACAAATTCTGACCGACAATAAATTAGACAACCAAAGAGAAATATATCAAAAGAGACACAAATATTTAGCGTGATTCGGTCGTCTGACTTATGTCTACAGACGGAGATGAGTAATTCACTATATAAAAAGAGAGTACAAATATGGGAGAAAAGGAACTAGCCAAATATGGAAGATTTATAATTTCCTTCAAAAGAAAAAAACTCAATTATGATAAATATGTTGCCCTTTCCTTCAAGAGATAGGAAAATCAAATATGGTAAGTGTATTGGGGAAAACCAATATTATACTTGAAATTAATTATGTGGCTCACATGTCAAGACACGTGGATTATTAGAAAAGCGACAACTGGCAAAGAGTACTTAAAGAGATGGGAGTCTTAATAGGTACGAGCAAAGTATCTAGAAGACAAGACAGAATGATCACTCGGGTCTCTTCATAATTTGAAGAGACACTGGTGGAATGAACCAAGACAGCAAAAAGTACAGATTCGCTAAATCTTCAATTAATGAGCATGAATGATTGGAAACGTTACAAAATCTTCACGAAACAGTTACGATTGCCAATTATAACGTTTTATTAATGTCATTAAATGCTCATAATGACTCGATTATGAGAGGGAAGAGACGTTGTACTTAGAAATAGCTATAAAAGGAAAAGAAATGACATATGTATGGACACATTCTGATTACTATTGAAATATACTTATTTACTTTGCTTTATATCAATTACTTTGCTATTACAGATTCTAATTTTTTTCCTTTTCCTATTATTTTACTTGATTATCAGTAGTCCGAGTACTTCTTAAAATAAGCTTTGATCGAAATTCTAATTTTCTGGTTAAACAAATTGGTTCTGTTACCGGAAATCTGATAATCTTCTTACTTTCCAAATCCGTTCTTTTGTAAAAGAAAATCATGTTGAACGTCAACGACAACAACCAACAAAACTTACAAAATCAGCAAGGTGACGGAACTTAGCAACATCAGCTAAATCAACAAGGAGATAGAATTCCAATCCACTCCCCACGAAACTCTCCTCGACAATCTCGAGAAGGGACTCCTAACATATTTGAATCAAATATCAATGACCAACATGAGAATGATCAAGCTATTAATGCAGCGTTGAAGCAATTAATCGCCCAACAGGTCAACAATGCTCTTCAAGCTTTTGTCAGCAGGTTGCTGACTGTACCACCAACTCCACCTCTGAATAATAATGCAACCATAGAAAATCCCCGCACTGGACTCGCTAATTTAGGTAGTGGAAGAACTCACAGCGAATCTCGTAATGGAGGGTCAGGTAACCCAGTTAATTCTGATTTACAAAGTTTAGTACTAACTTTGCAAAAACAGCTCAAGGAACAGAGTGATCGCATAGAGCAGATACCCGGTGTACCACCTATAATCAAGGGAATAGATATGGAAAAATACTCTCAACAATCTTGGAAGCCAAGTGACGCTCATTTGCCAATTCCAAAAAAATTCAAGATGCCCGATATCCCAAAGTACGATGGAACAACTGATCCACGGGATCACGTAATGGCATTTACTACTAGCATAAATGGCAATGACTTGACCAAGCAAGAAATTGAATCAGTATTGGTCAAAAAAATTGGAGAAACACTCACGAAGGAAACACTGACATGGTATTCTCTTTTACCTGAAAATTCTATTGATTCTTTTGTTGAGCTTCCAGATTCATTTATCATAGCACATTCGGGAGCTCAAAAAGTTGAAAAAAGGATGGAAGACATTTTTAAAATAAAACAAGGAGATACGGAGCTACTCAGGAAATTCGTAGACAGATTCCAGCGTGAAAGGATGATGTTGCCACGTGTACCCGATAACTGGGCGGCTATGGCATTTGCCAGTCATCAAAATGAGAAAAGCTCAGAAGCCACGAGGAGACTCAAAGAAAGCTTAAAAGAATTTCCAGCAACAACTTGAATGATGTTTACAATAGATACAACATAAAGCTGCGGATGGATGAAGATACTATCACTCAATCTTGGAAAGATGAAAGAGTAAGTTCAAGGCGGGCAGAAACTAAAAAAAGGTCCGGTAAAATAGGTACGAACCTTATATGGGACCAGCAGGAAGGGATTCACGTTCAAAATAGGAAAATCCAAGATATAACCCTAGGTTAAGGGACAGAGAATCGGGTTTGTCGTCGAGGTTCGGAAAGGAGCGAAACATGCGAGATACGCAAGATGACGACAGAGGTTCAAAAGTAAAAATTGGTGGCTACGATTTTAATGTAAGATAAGAAGCATATGAGATAAGGTACGGTGGCCAAAAGAAATGAGATCGAACCCAAACAGGAGGAATCCTGAATTTTTGTGTGAGTTTCACAACGATCACTGTCACAAAATGGTGGACTGCAGATTGCTACAAGGTGAAGTATAGCATTTATTAAAACAAGGTTACTTAACTTAATTGTTTAGTGAAAAGGGAAATCAAGCATATATGAAGAATAGGCAAGAACCGCCAAACCTCCATCACCAAAGAGAATAGTTAATGTTCTAAGTGGAGGAGAAGAAATTAATAGTGTAACATATACGGGAGAAAAGAAGGTGTCAAAAATCACGGTCACCTACGGGAAGCGAGTTCATCAAGTTTTGAAAGAAGATAGTATTATATTTGATGATGCAAATGCAGATGGCATGCTGATCCCACATAATGATGCACTGATAATATCTTTACTTGTACATGATACTAACTTAAAACGAGTTTTGATTGATCCAGGAAGTTCTGCAAATATCATTCTGTTAAGAGTGGTAAATGAGATGCAAGCCAATGATAAATCGGTACCCAAAGTGCGGACCTTGTCTGGTTTTGACAACTCAAGTATTGTAACAAAAGGGGAGATAATACTCACCACATTCGCAGAAGGAGTAGTCAAAGACGCCAAATTTTAAGTGACAGAAATGGACATGGCGTACAATATGGTTCTCGGTAGATTGTGGATTCACGAAATGGATGATATTCCATCTACCCTACATCAAGTTATCAAGTTTCCTTCATAATAGGGAATACGACTAATCTGTAGTGATCAACAGGCTTCTCGAAGCATTAACTCAGTGGCAGATTCAAGCACGAAAAACGATGAAAAAATAGCAATTACAGAATTCAGTTGAGGATGTAGCAACACAAGCCTCAACTGTAGACGGGCAAACAGATGTAGACTCGAGGCCTGATACTATTCAAGAACCAGAAGAAAATGAAAACATCTAAATAACAATCAAGGAACTAGAAGCTGTGGTATTATTTGTAAATTGGACGGACAGAAAAGTCTACATTGGAACCAACCTCATCCCGGAGATGGAAAGTAAGTTAATTGAATTTTTAAAAGCTAACGCAGATTGTTTTGCTTGGTCACATTTAGATATGACAAGTATACTAATAAGTTAGGATTTTAACATGTTCTATGCCCCTACTTGCCTATGCTTTGATCATATATTGTTACAAAATAGCCTTAAAAGGCTCACAAGTTGTGCTTGATTGCAGGTTTGATTGACAAAGTGAGAAAATGTCAAAGATCGGCTCAAAAAGGAGTGAAACCTACTCAAGTATCAAAGACAAAGAAATCTAAGGAAAGAAGGCCTAGTGCAGACCGCGCAAAGTTGAATGCGGCCGCACTAGGTGGTTCAGAGAGTTGGTAAACCAGGCTAGAGGCAACGCGGCCGCGGTACACGTCTCGCGGTCCCCGGTGAAGGCTCCACGGCAGCACTACTCTTTTGTGCGGTCCGCAGTCATGAGATTTAGAGAGATGAAAGTTTGCAAAGCTAATGCCATGCGGTCCGCGATCGTGATTGCGCGGACCGTGCCAGCTCCCTCCATGGCCGCGGTCCATTCTACGTGGTCCGCGGAGTCCAAGTTCAGAGAAGCAAAAGTCAAAGTCAAAGAGCCCAGTGCAGCCGCG